CCATAAGTCCATACTGTCTCTACAAATATATGGTAATATATTGATGAGTTCTATATTGTATGGCACCCACACAATCTGTATGATGACATAAAAATAGGATTAATAATAAATCAAAATTAATTACTGTAATATACCATATTTAATACATGTTATTTAAATAAGTAACTCAGCAAAAGTTGGCTATAATACCTCATCACGTGCTAGACGATAAAAAAATATATCTGTAGTACTGGACATATTTCTTTCCTTCTGATACTGTGGGATAACCATCTGCAAGTAATTTTGACCATAAAAACATGAAGTCAAACAAATAACATAATAGAAAACCTACAAATGCGTAGAAAAACAATAACAATAACAACTTACCTAACACCATAAGGAAGATTAGGACATGTATAGGGAGTATTGGTAGGTGCTATCTAGGGAAATCTATCCCAAGCCCATATCACAATCAACACAGCAAGTCCTCCAATAGCAACACGATCAATGTTGGTGGTCATGCATAGCTCTCGGTACAAATAACCTAGAACTGTAGAACCCTAACTATATTGACCGGTCAACTCAAAATCTTCAAGTAAAGGCAAGTACCTCATAGATACCCTACTGCTAGAGTGATCAGGAAGCATGAATCCTCTAATAAGCCTCAATATATATGCCCTAGTACATTGAGTAATTTGCAGTGGAGTTTGATTATGCATGGCAATATGGGTGAAGTGCTTGTCTAACCAGCTCATCTTCAAGAAACTCCCTACAGAAGCATCTTATCATGGTCTGATACCTAGGCTGTCTTCAACAATCTGTGCCTAATCATCTCCAGGGGGCATGTGGAAGATGTGCGTCTCGGGCCTCCACCTGTCTACTAATTTAGTAATTAATCCCATGTCTACAGGAAGCTGAGACAAATTAGCCACTCTAATAAAACCTGCTAACTCCATATGTGGAATAATTTCTTCCAGAACACCCTCTAATCCACTAGAAATATTTTGACTCTTCCTAATCCTCAATGTTGGGTGATCATGTCCATCCCAAATATGTTCAGAAATATGGATACTCTGAAACCGATGAAGTGATGGATCTTCTGGCCCGGGATTAATAACCCTACTTTGTTGTGAAGATGATGCCATCTATATAACAACAAAAAATATTAGTAAAATAATTTCATTCAATAACAATAATAATAATTTATATTTTACTAACATATTAATAATACATATTTTATAATAGTTAAACAAATTTACTAACAAATCATTATCATATTGTAATGACATAAATATATATTCATTGCAATATATTTAAATGCAAAAATCAGGTATATAAAAAAAATTAAATCATAACTATAATTTTTTTAACAATATAATTAACTAAATTACTAACCTATATTCTATACAAATCAGGTATAATCTCATCAATTAAATCATAACTATAATTTTTTTTAAACAAAATAAATAACTAAATTATTAACCTATATTCTATACAAATTATAATTTATGCAATATCAATTTTATTTTAAATAAATCAATTCTTATTTACATTTTTATACATATTACTAAAGATATATAAATTTTTAATTATTGTAACTTTTTTTCATATTAAAAAGTATTTAATAAACTTTATACAAATAATGTTATGTTATTTAAATACAAAACTCTAATTACTAGCATAAAATTAAATTAAATTTTTATTTGTTTATATTTCAAATTTAAATCTACATAAATTACATTCAGCTTATAATTATATAAATAATATTACATTTTTTAAAGTAAAAAATATAATTATTTACATACAAATTTTATACATACATAAACTTCATACAAATTATGATTATATCTTAATTATTTTACATTATTACTGCATTTCAAATTTGACAATTTTAAAATTTTACTTAATTTATTATATAGGTATAAAAATTATTTATTACAATAAAACTAATTATAAATTATTATATTTAGTTTTATATAATTATTTTATTTAACTCATTTTCTATTATTTTGCATTTTTACAAATATATATAACAATTGTTGCAAACAAATTTTAATTTAACCTATCTTTTTAACAGTTAATCATAATTTTACATTTTAATCAACTATATCACATTTTATTTTTTCTAAAAACATATCAATCTATATATAAATAAATGAAAAACTATTTAAAATTTAAATTATTTTTTACTAACTTCAATATGCATACAAATCAAATTAGAAATAATATATAAATATGCATATTACATGTCTATACCTTTCTTCATAATACAAATCAAAACAAATTTTTAGACAAATTTTGGAAACAAGACCCTGCACGATAGAGGAGTAAAGATGAGAAATGAAAATGGAAATGGAGGAAAAGAGGAAAAAAACCGGTCAAGGTTACTATTTAACCGGTTACGTGTTAAAATTTGAATGGTTTCATCAACGGCAGGGCGAAATACACTGTCGCCAGTAGAAGCGCAAAAATTCTGAGATGTTGCCATGTGTATCAAAATCTCCTCAGCCGTCCATTTTGAATTTATTTTTATTATTTATTTTTAATTTTATTGACTTTTATGATTCTAATAGCGAAACAAGTGTCGTTACAGTCACGTGTCACTATCCAATTAATTGGGCTCTAAGTGTGGCAAAACTTAGTGATTATTTTGCCAATTAAGTCACGAAACTAATTTAAGTTTGACACATGCTATTATCTTATTTATTTTATAATTTTTGTTTCAAAATAAATATTAAAAAAATTTAAAAATAAATTACATTCGCCAGCTATTATGGCAAAAAATGGGTCCACGTGACGAAAAATCTCAGACAGAAAAATTATTTCAGATTACCTATAAAGTGATAAATTAATTTTTAAATTACAATATTAAAATAAATTTGCCTATAAAAGTTACATTTTGAATTTGTAAAAATTAGAACAAAACATTGACAGTGAGTGATGCAATATATCGTAAGTTTCAAGTAACATCTTGAGATGACAAAGTTATTAACTTAGATAAATTGTTGCTCATGGAGTGTTAATTATTGAAGCTCTGAATACAGCCATATCAAAATCTCTACACATACAAGTGTAATTAAAATAAAGTAACTATTTACCGCATTCACATGCATATCATATAAAGCTATTATGCAAAACACAAACACCAACTTCCTCCTTCTAGAATGTATGTTGTTACACCCATATATTTGTTGCCACTTCAATTTTAAAAAAATTATATAAAATACTTTTACTATTAGTGTAGTTATAAGAGAGATAAATATATATTTTAGATAAAAATAATGATGCACATAATTTTTTAACTCGACGACGACTACACGGAAAAGAAAAGAACCGACAAGTCACAATAATTAATCTCAACTTTTGATTAAATTATTATTATATTTATAATATTAGATCGAAGATAAGAGCAAGCATTAACCATTAAGACTTAGAAAAGACGGTTTGAGTGAGATAGCTAATTACAAAAGTGTCCCTGTGATGGGCAGATATAAGAGCAATAATGTTTATACTGCAGCCATTGCCAATCACAAACTGAACACAGTGAAATCTCTTCTCTTCTTCATCATATCTAAGAAATATGGAAAACGTTCCATTTGCTGTTACGTCTAATCTCATTCACAGGTTCCTTTTTCACCTTTCTTCAATTTAAACAATAACTATCCATTTTTTAATTCTTCCATAACATGCTTAGCTCACAGTTTAGTTTTTTTTTTCGTTATAGTTTTCACTGGTTCTTATTTTGTTTGTTTTAATCTCTTTCACCCTTTTGTTATTTTTTTTCGTAAAAGCTATATCTTTTTATTTTCCTTGAATATTTGTTTCTAATGCTTAGTATTTAAAGTTTATTTACTAATATTATTTTATAAAATTTTAATTTACATCAGTAAAGTAATTAAAATGTTGTAAACATTTACATTTTTTTTTTGTTTATAAGTTAATATGCATGCTATCCAATCTTGTTATCATGCTAAAATCTCAAAAAATAATATCTTAACGTAATCAAGATATTTAAAATAAAAATTAATCACGGTGCTGTCAGAATTGAAATAATAGAGAAATATAGATTACCTTGTTTATACATTTTATATGTAAACCTTATAAAAACACAAATTACTCTTTTATTCGAGAATGAACACAGACTGGTGCACACAAGGCAAATTCATATGATACTGAATTACAATAAATTACTTTCTATGATAATTTTTACGAGATCAACCTTAATAAAAAATAATTATGTGTTATAAATTAATCTTACGTTGGAAAATGTTCCTATAATTATACACTACGTCCTATTCTATTAGGGGATTACATTAATAATAATATTTTAATAAAATATCTTAAACAAGGAGATTTTGGAGTGATAATTGATATTTGTTTTCTCTTGTACTAAAATTATAAAATATAAATATCTACTTTTAGATGTGTTAACGAGATTTGTACTAACAAAAATAAAATATACTCGTGTCGTGCATATGGAAATTATGATTGGGTAATAAGGATTTGTAACTGAGCTGGCCATGAACAAATCATGATTCAATCAATTGAATTTGTAGATTATTATTACATATATTTTCCCTTTACCTCGATTCTTATGCCAGTATTTTTAGACATTGCCCAACTTTCTCTCAACAAAGCACCCTTCTCTGTTGTCTTTCTTAATCATTTTAACGATGGCTGATTCAGTTCCATTTGCTGTTACTTCAAATCTCAGGTTGGCTTCCGCAGATTTTCTTGAATTTGGAAAGCAATATGATTTGACGGAAGACTTGGAAGATCTTAAGAACACTATTGAATCCATCAATGTTAAGCTCCTTGATGCAGACGATAAACAAGATCAAGATGATGGTGTGCGAGTTTGGATCAGAAGGTTCAAGAAAGTACTCCATGCCGCAGATGACTCCTTAGATAACCTTGCTATCCAATTCAGGAGAGACAAATTGGGTGCACCAGAAGGAAAAGAAGTAGACAAGGTATTTCTTTCCATTTCATCTTCCAATCAAATTCCTTTATACAGTGAAATGCCTGACAAAATTAAAGAAATACGAGAAAGTTTTAATGGTGTGGTAAAGGAAATGAAGGATTTGAATTTAAGCCCAACATCAGCGGTGCTTAAGCAAACTAACAGTGAATGGAGGGAAACATGTTCTTTTGTGCTAGAATCTGATATCATTGGAAGAGATGATAGTAAAAAGGAGATTATTAGTATGTTAAGACAACCCGATGAAAACCGAAAAGTTTCTGTGATTGCTATTGTTGGCCTCGGTGGCTTGGGGAAGACAACGCTTGCTCAGTTCGTGTATAATGACTTGGAAGTGCAGAATTTGTTTGAAATGCAAATGTGGGTGTGTGTCTCTGATAACTTTGATGTGAAAACTATTCTGAAGAAAATATTAGAATCAATTACGGGCGACCAAGTTGAAGACAAGTTATCATTAGGCAACTTGCAAAGAAAACTTCATGAAGAAGTAAGAGGTAAGAAATATTTGTTGGTCCTGGATGACATTTGGAATGATAGTCACGACAAATGGATTGAATTGAGAAAGTACTTGATGTGTGGCGCTCAAGATAGTAAGATTTTAGTGACAACTCGAAGTGAAAATGTAGCTAAGGCAATGACAGCTAGCACTTCCTATCCTTTGAAAGGTTTGACTGATGAAGCATCTTGGAGTTTGTTGAAGAGCGTTGCATTTGAGGATGATTTCAAAGGAGTGAATCAAAATCTAGAATCAATGGGGAAAGAAATAGCCAAAAAATGTAAGGGGGTTCCACTAGCAGGTAAAACCCTGGGAGGCCTGTTAAGAAGACTAAACGAAGAAAGTGAATGGGAGAATGTTTTATTTGGTGACTTCTGGAAATTATGTGAAGAGCAAAATAGTATCATGCCAATTCTAAAACTCAGTTACCGCAACTTGTCGCCAGAAATGAGACAATGTTTTGCTTACTGCTCTTTATACCCCAAGGATTCAGAAATTGAAAAGAATGAGTTGATTCAGTTGTGGATGGCACAGGGTTACCTTAAATGTTCGACTGAAAAACAGCACATGGAGGATGTTGGTAATCAACTTGTAAAGATGTTTCTGATGAACTCATTTTTTCAAGATGCAGAAAATGATGAATATGGTGAGATCATTAGTTTCAAAATGCATGATTTAATGCATGATCTTGCAACGCTAGTAGCTGGCAATGATTATTGTTACTTGGATAGTAAGGCAGAAAAAGTTGAAGGTAGACCCATGCACGTATCATTGGAATCTGATGAGGCCATTCATTTGTTGAAATCATTAGATCCGAGCAGGCTGCGAACTTTGATTCTGCGGTATTACTTGAAAGAGGAGGAAGATTTGTCGGTTATTTCAGAGTTCAAATACTTACGTGTCTTGAGGATGCATCATCTCTCTGATTCCACTGAACATTTGAAGCATTTAAGATACCTTGCTTTAACGCAACAAACAAGTCTTCCCAAATCCATGAGCAATCTTGTTTTCCTACAAACATTAAAATTGTGGAAGTGCGATGAAGAATCATTTTCAGAAGTAGTCACAAAATTAGTCAATTTGAGGTGCCTTGATATTGCTTACCCCTTGACGGGAATGGCAGTTGGGTTGGGAAACTTATCCTCATTGCAATTCTTATCGACCTTCTTTGTGGGAGACAGCCAAAGATATGGCACATTAAATGAACTGAAGGACTTAAACCTAATAAGAGGCAAATTACAAATTGTGGATCTGAACAGTGTGAGAGACGTGGCTCTGGAATCACAGGAAGTAAATTTAAAAGAAAAAAAATTCCTTCAATCCTTGGCTCTGTATTGGTCGTCTAGAGATATCTGTAACAGCGACAGCTTACAATTATTGGAAAACCTTCAACCGAACCGTAATCTTAAGCGTTTGCAGGTGAATTATTATCCAGGTGTGCTTTTCCCAAATTGGCTCTCTCTCCTCACAAATGTTGTTGACATCCATCTGTCTCAGCTTTCTAAATGCCGCTGTCTCCCTCCGTTGGAACGTCTCCCTTACCTGAAGTCACTTGAGATATGGTATCTTTATGAATTGGAATACATATATCTCTGCGAAGATGGCTTTGCAGTAACGTTCTTTCCCTCTTTGGAGAGCCTCACATTAGAGTATTGTCCTAAGCTTATGGGATGGTGGAGGCGGGGAGATGATATCAATGATTCAGATAATCTCTCCTTACCTCTCTCATTTCCTCATCTTTCTCGATTAGTTGTCTCTGAATGTCGACAGTTGACTTGCATGCCTACTTTTCCAAACGTTAAGGATATAAAATGGTTTAAATCCAGTGAGAAGCCATTAATAGGAACACTAAACACAACAGCGTCAACATGTTCAGCTAACTCATCTTCCTCCTCTGCTCCTCTTTCCATGCTCAAACAATTGGACATATCTGATCCTGCGATATTTCCAAAGGGTTGGAAGCAAAATCTGACTTCTCTGGAGTCTCTTCAAATTCAATTCTGTGTAAGGGAAACACTTGAGGAACTTGATACTGGGTTTAAGGACGACACCAACTGCCTTCCTTCGCTGCGAAAAATCAGCATAAATAGGTGTGGAAAGCTAAAGGCTTTGCCAGATTGGATTTGCAACCTCTCATCGCTTCAGCGTATCACAATCTCACGCTGTCCAAAATTGGCATCGCTGCCCGAAGGAATGAGTGGTCTTACCAACTTAAAGATGTTTGAAGTGAGGAGATGTTCCCTCTTGATTAAAGAATGCCGGAGAGAGACAAGTGCTGTTAATCGCCAAATCGCACACATCCCACGAATTATCCTTGGTTGATCACTGATCATAAAGGCACTGATATGATTCTGATGGGTATTTATTTAATAATCCTTAGTGATTACTGATCTGACGCGTGTTTATTCAGTGTAAACGTCGGGTATTGTATTTGCTTTGTTAATAAAATACTTTTAACTAGTTTTTGAGTTATAAATACAAATTATCCTAATCATATTAATTTTCAAATGTTAAACATTATCGGAGTTTTAACCGTCATATATTTAATGCCAATAAGTTTTTTTCTTTTCCTTTTCACCGATGTTACCACAAAAATATAATTTTTAAATTAAAATTTAAATATTATATAATTTAACTTATAAATAAATATTCAATTATTAATAATAAATATATAAAAATTTAAAATTATTTTATAATTAATAAAATTTATAAAATATATAACTATTTATATTTTTAATAATAATATTCTATTATATTAAATAAGATTAAATTAAAAAAATTAAAATTAAAAACTAAATAAAAATATTTAATATAAAATTTAAATTAAGACTAAATTAAATAAAAAATAAATGTTGAATGCATAAAAAGTTATGTGACATAATGAGAAAGATAACTAATACCTAAAAACCTTCTCACTTAAAAATTAGGACCCAACTTATAAAGGTATTTATGTATGTAGGGAATTAATTATTGATGTAAAAAAAATATATACTAATTTGAGTTTTTTCTACTTCATAAATGTAAAATATAAGTTGATGTTTTATATAGTTTCAATTTCTATTTATTTTTTACAAATTTTTTACACGTTCGTTCTTAGTTTTGAATTGAAGGTAAATTTTCAAATTTTAGTTTTATCATAGAAAGAGTTATTGTTTTAATATTTATAGGTAAAAAAGAAGAAAGGAGAAAAAAAAAGAAATTATGAATATTGAAGAGTTCCTAAAAATTGTTAGATTTCTATAATGTTGAGAAGTACTTACAATAGAACAATTTTTTTTTTCTCCCGTTTTGATTTCACATTTGGGTGACTTTTTTATTATAGTGATTTAGTTTCTAAAAACTACTCTTTGGAAGGCAAAGTTGAAGAAAGTAAACTAGATGTTGCCACCAATGTACTATTGGGACTCTATAAGAGCATTTTTCTCAACCTTGTTTCTTTTTTTCTATACTTTCGTCTTGTCTTTTCCCACAAAGTAACTTTTCTTTTAGTTCACTTAGTTATCAAAATGTTTGTGTTATTCATGGTAAGGTTTTTGGAATTACAACACAGAATGCATAGTGTTACTCTGTTTTTTGTTGAAAGTGAACTTTTTTATTAGAAAATGAGAGTACTATGCATCAAATTTCTAATTGTTTGGTGAAAGAGACTTTAAATCATGTGAAGAATCAAATCATGTTACCATTGATTGAAATATCTTGTTTCTAATTTATTTCTTCATAGACTTCATTGGATTTGTTTGGTCTAGTAACACATGTCCAACTGCATACAGTAAGATATTGCTACATTATTGTTGTTAATTAAATTTTATTAGAAACTTAATTATAAAATTTCAAGATTCGATGTGTTAATGGAAGTTTTGTTATGTTATCAATTGATTATTTTGTGTACATGTTCAAGTTTTGTTTATAATCCTTTTCGTTACACAATTTCAAATATATTGGCTAAATAATGCATAGTAACAAATTTTTTCTCTTTAATGCTTTTGTTGCAAAAAGTTGTCAGAAATAAACTAATGATTCACTTTAGTTGATCAGTTTACGAGGCAATTTCGTTGAATTATGTCATGAGTACATCTATTGGAGTTAGTTTTGGTCATTGTTATAGTCACACCATCAGTTCAAAAGAAGCCATAAGAACCTAGTTTGTTCCTTAAAATTGATCTGGTGTTGTCTAATGCAAGATAGATTGTGTTTGTGTTGTTCATTAAAATTAATTCTATTTGACTTCAAATTAAACAGATGCTACGTATAAATACAACCTATATATGATTAAATTAATATTAATTTTAGGATCAATTTTAATTAAATATTTAAAATTAATTCTACTGCTTTTAAATATTTAAAATTAGTAATATAAAATGATATTGATAAAATCATAATTTAAAATATTCTCTTTATATTCAAAAAGAGAGTCCAATTGTACATGTAGAAAACTAAGTGGATTGTTCAAATGTACCTTTGCTGCAGACTGAAAAAAAGACTTTGGCACAATATTAATTAACATATAAGAACTACTAAATGTAGCCAAAGGATTGATATAAGTTGCATGATCAATCATAATATATATATATAGTTTCTAATTATTCTCCATATCTTGTGACTGAATTTTTTTTACGTGGATGATACAAGCCTTACATTTTCATTCTTGTAATAATCTTACTGTAAGGTCTCTGAAGAGCTCACATTGCTATATATGCTTGTGAGGGTGCCATATTTTTTCATATCAGTATTCAAGCTCCTAGTACAATCTCCAATACTGATGGATTTTACATTTCAGCTTCCAAAAATATCTTGATAAGAGATTCCATCATAGGAACTGGTAAATTAACCCAAGTTTTTATCTTATGTGCACATGAAATTAAATTACATGTAGTGTTTTAAAAAAACTACTATATGTGCAGTTTTAATTTACATTGTTTTTCTCAACAGGTGATGATTGTATTGCCATCAATAGTGGCTTCTCTTACATTAATTCTACCGAGTTTCTAGTGGACCAGGCCATGGAATAAGGTTTACATAAATAGTGATGATATCAAACTATGAAAATTAATTATTTTTTTATTCAAATAATAATTTTGTTATTCCAATGTTTCTATTCAATTTAAAAAAATGAAATAATCAGCGTTGGCAGTCTTGGTAGAAATAAAGCTCATAATATAGTGGAAGATGTTTATGTAAGAAATTGCAGCTTTACAAGGACTTCAAATGGAGCAAGAATCAAGACATTTTAGTAAATAATTAATGGATCTGAATTCTCTCGTGTTTGTGGGAATTGGACGTTTACACTTTCGCTGAAGGAAAAATGGGTTAGGTTAAGTGAAAATAAAGAAAATAAATAAAAAGTTTATATTTTGACACACTTTTCTAGTATATATATACGTACTTATTCTTAATTTGAGTAAATTTTTACACTAATTACCTTTAAATTTGTTAAAGATGAACTTGTTTCAGAATATACTAAATTCATGGACATTTTGGGCACAAATTCAAAAAAATTATGCAAATCTAGATAAAACACATCCAATCCACAAGTAGGCAGCATGCTCATGCTATGGTACGATGCACAACCGTGTATGATAAAAAGCACGCCCATGCTTCGATATATAGCACGGTCGTGCTCGCATCCAACATGACCGTGCATGTCTTCTGTTACAAAAAACTCATCAAGTTTTTCATCTGATTTGTGAGAAAAGAATTTTAAAATTAAAATTTGAATTTAGATCAAATATTGGGTAACGTCGAAACTGCTAGTGCGTCTCCATGATTGAGTTGCACCCTAAACTCCTACTAAAGGACTTTAGAGGTAACAACAAAGGGCATCCTGTTCTACACCTTGTTTTTGACATTGAATACAATTTTCATTTCACGCCTTGCACTCACTTCTTTCATCAGATTTTTGACACATTCTTGGTAGGACTGAGATTTTTGAGTGATCATACTTAAAAACTAGAAACTTTTCTCACCTCATTCTTTGGGGATAATCCAGTTTGTTAATTTTTTTGACATTGTTATGGTTCTTTTCTTTAGTATGACTAACTAAGTTTATAGCTAGGACTATCGGAACTCTTATTCATGAATTTATGTTATTTTAATATTTGAATCTAAATTTGATTTATGTCTGTGATGAGTGTTTGTCATATTGCGCATAATTATATGTTGTGACTAACCTTAATTAATTACATCATAGACGACCGTACCTCGATTAGTTAATGGATCTCTAAAATAAAATGAGATAAATGATTAGATAGACCAGACCAATCTTTCTCTTCCAATCGTTATTAAATTAACAAGTTCATAGGTGCTTAATGCTTTCTTTAATTGATATCTTGCGTGATCATTGTAGATATCAATTTAGAGAGAAGAACATAATACTACATAACCATTGCGTATTAATAGTATTTGTATGAATGATTGGTAATCACAAGAAAATTAGATTTAGAGTCAGACAAAAGAATAACATAAAGGATTGAATAAGTAAACTCATACGTCCTATGTTCCTCTCCTATAAGTTCAACTAAGACGTATGTTGTGTTACTTGCTCTGAATTTCACTGAATTGATTTCTGTTTTACTTAATTTTGAATCTTACATCCTTTAAGTTCAAACAATTGAATTTAAAAAATCTTAGTAATTGAAAACAGTCTTTATGTGTAACGATAATTTGGAAACTTAATTTACAAACTTTTTATTACTTTTCGATGGGTATACTTGTCTACGAAGAATAACAAAAAAAAAAATTCACAAATTTTGTGCCTTATCCTTTAGTTTTCTGCTATTCCTCTTTCACATGCTTAAGACTCGCTCCCCAACCTCTATATCCAACCCTCTTCAAAATAGAAAGCTTGAGATAAAACTAAAATAGAAAATGGAACAAATATTTTTCGCTTACTGATATATCGAAAAAGTAAATATTTTTCCACTACCTCTCACTACTCGAAAGGATTATTTTTCTTATTTATATATATTATTTTAATTTTAACAAATCAGGTTATGTAAGAAGAATAACTTTTAAACACATCACACTAAACGAGATTTACCGTCTAATAATTATCGAGATCAAAATTTTCTCCAGCTACAGATATTTTTCACTTTTGTTTAAGGCTTTATTTAAAAGTTTGGAGGGAAAAAAGAACAGTTTGAAGGGAGAAGGAGGGGGAAGGAGGTTAGATCCTTCCCTTATTTAGATGTTTAATATTGAGAAAGGAAAGTGATAGGCAGTTTAAATATATAAATAATTTTTAAATTAATATTTTTATTTTTTTAATTTTTTTAAAAAATTATCACTTAGAAAACTAATATTTTATTTTTTTAACAGAAGTTAAA